GGGTTTCTACTCTTCAGCTGGGTCATGAGCTTGAGGAGGTCAGGAACCGGGATGGATGCTTGTTCCCCACGTATGCACGCACATCATACATTCCGGGAGGGTGGGTGGGTCTGGGTGGCACCTTCATAGTGCCGTGACAATAACAACCCTGGCACTCAACCCTGGCTCCTGGCCCAGCAGCCAATGAGGCCTCTGCAGGGCCACCATTGGGAAAGAGACTGTGATCGTTAACCACAAGGTGAGAACAAGAAGCTGGTGAGGGGCAGCCAGCTGCCCATGGGCGACACCATTTGCCATTTACACTGAAGGACACTAATGGGCCGGGTGCAAACTTTCCCTGTGTGCTGGCTGACCTTAAAATGCTCCTTCATAGAGTTGAGGGGCGGACCCTAAAAAGTGAACCAATGAACACGTACACAAATAAACAGAGCAGTTAACCAAATCCACTGCCTCTCTCCCCAGGAACTAGCCTATAGCCTGCAGCAGTGCTACTTCCTTTCTTGAACTAGAGGCATTTTATACTTCACTGAGGAAAGGACCCACTGTCAGACAAATTGGATAAATTTTTTCCTGAGGCCAAAGGAAAAAATCAGAGATACTGATCCTATCTTTATTTATAGTTTTTTTTTTTTGGAGGCTGGCAGCTAAGGGGATATTTAGAATTTTGATATATTGTGGATTTTTACATGAATTTTGGCTTTTTAAAACATTGCATTAAAATGTTATTTATTGCTACCATTGAAGTTTTTTTTTTTACAGCTCCTTACATTTTATACCAAAGTGAGAGCTTCTGCTGTCTTACCCTAGTCCTGCCTCTGAAAAAGCCTCAGAGAATGGCCCAGGGCCTCCCCAGATCAGAGCAGTTGCCCTCTGCACCAGGTGAGGGATGATCTCACTGCAGCTTTCGCAACGGGCCTGGTGGGGGTTTGCAGCATCTGGGTTTCAGGCCAGGTATCCCAGCCTTGTCTGCCTCAATGTTGTCCTGCTCGATTGTCCTCATGGTACTCACCACTCTGCTTTGGGCGTTTTGTAAAATCATCCACTCCCCACCTGCCACCAGAAGGTAGGCTCCGGGAGGGCGGGGACCTTGTCAGCTTTGTCCACTGTTCAGTGGGCAGTGCCTAGAATGGAGCCTGAGAGCAAGTAAGTGCTCTAGAGATAGTCTGCGGATGAGCAGCAGCTACTGGTTACCAGGCATTTGTTGTGTGCTGATCACCTCACCTGCAGCAGCTTGTTTAAGCCTCACGGCAACCTTGCAATGTGGGCATTATTCTTGTCCCCATTTTACAGATGGGGAAACTAAGGTCGAGTATGGTTCCGTAACTCGCCTAAGGTCATAAAGCCAGTAAGTAGGGAAGCTGGGATTTGAACCCAGGCAGTCTGGCTCTAAAGCAGGGATTGTAGAGCAGGGACGATTGACATTTCTAGCTGGATAATTCCTTGTGGTGGTGGTGGTGGGGGGGCTGTCTTGGGCGTTGTATGATGGCCAGCAATAGCCCTGGTCTCTACCTATTTGATGCCAGTAGCACCCCTCCCCTGATTGTGACAATCAGACATCATCATCCACTTGTCGGTTGTCACTGCTGGAGTTTCTGATCACCACACCACACTGCCTTCCTATTATGCACAGACGAAGGAATGTGTTGAGTTCCAATCTGGCACATCCCTTGCCTCAGGGTCTGCTTGTGGCATGGGGAAGGGGCACCGAGGCTGGAAGGACAAGGGTGCCCAGCTGTGCTTTTTGCCTTCCTTTCCCAGGACGGAAGAGGAAGGGCACAGGGGAGGGAGCGGCATGCACAGCATAGGCTTCCCTGGCAGGTCGGTGACCTACGGAGCCCCAGCAGGGCTTTTGGGACCAGAAGTAACAGCCGATGTCTTTGCTTAACAAAGCACCTTGTCCAGTACTGCTTCATGTGCACCCCCAAGCACACCATCTCCCCTGCCACCAGCTGTTCACTCCGTGCACTCTGTACATGGAGTTGGTGCCTGACAGCTTGCGTGCTCGCAAACTCACGCGAGCAGCCCCTGCACACGCACGCTCTTTCGTGCTTCCAGCTTCTGCAGGCACCACTCCCTCTGCCTGGCGTGCCCCAACCCACCTCTTCTGCCTGGCAAACATCCTTACTCTCCCCACCTCCTCATATCTCTGGAGCTTTTTCTGATCCCCCGAGTCGCCCCACCACATTGGCCTTTCCTCCTTAGTGTCCCCAAGGCACTTTCTGCACTGCCCTATGAAAGTGTGTCTCAAATGGTTTGTCTCTCTCATCACTTAAAGATGGCTACCTTTTTTCTGCTTCTCTTCCCATTGAGAAGAGCCTCATTTCCCTCCCCTTGTGACTGGGCTGGCCTTGGTGATGTACTTGACCAACAGAATGTTGTGGGTGTGACATTCGGAGACTTCTGAGGCTTGGTCATAAGAAGGCTTGCAGCTTCTGCCTGAGTCTCTTGGGGCCCAGCAGCCATCCTGTGAGAAGCCCGAGCTGCATGGAGAGGCCACGTG